CCGGAGAACCCCCCGGGTCCCCGCCAGGGGGGCCGGCGCTGCTGCAGGCGCCGGGGACCAGCCGGGGCGCACGCGGAGCCCCGGGCCCCTGGGAGCCAAGCGCGCCTCTGGGGGCGCCTGGGGGGCCGGGCTCTTCCCTGTCCCCGCCGCTCCCTAGCCCCGCTGGGCTGCCCGGCCTTTCTCCCCCGTCCCGATCTCCGCTAGGGACCTACCCACCGAGCCTGGGCAGCGCCCACCCCGGCAATAGCGCCCGTGGGCGCTCGGCCCCGCCGAACCTCTGCGCAGGGCTGGTGGGGGCAGCTGCCGCCCGGCTCCCAGCCCCCTTCGGGAACTCGGACCTGGCTGTTCAGGTTTCAAACCGCCGGGGCCATCAGTCCCCGGGGCTTGCTGGGATGACAGTGGCGCTAAGGGGCAATGCAGGAGGGGTGTCATGGGCCAGCACCGCTCACCTGCCCGTAGCAGCCGCGCACAGTTATTCAGCCTGGTAGAATCCAGTTCTCTGATTTCCTCGGCAGCGTCCCTGAACTCTGCCGCCCTCTGTCCAGGGGGAACCAGGGCTTCCAAAGAGCGGCTTCCCCTTCACAAGGGTGCTGCAAATTCTGCCTTCCTATCCCTGTCTAGCGTCCTTCAGAGCAAAGTCAGCCAAGAGTGGGGGTTACAAATAACTACTTTATTCCTAGGTACCCCAGAGCTATCAAATGACAGCAATAAAACATCCCATTGAAAAGCTGAGTGTTGTTGGTATTGAACATTTCGATTGTGGTAGTGTCTAGTTCCCTGGTACAGGATGGGACCCATCGGGCCAGGCACCCTACAGACATAAGAAATGACTCCCTGCCCCCTAAGACTTTACAAGCAAGAAATGAGAAGGAAGTGGGCAGGGGAACAGAGACTAGGGGGAACGAATAGAACAGGGTGTTTAGGACTGATGGTCTCTTTGGGGTGTATGCCCCAGGGAAGTGGGCCTGCCACCCTGGAAGGTGACCTTTGTTTCCTCACTGCTACTTTTAGCCTTGAAGGATCATTGCTGCCAGAAGCGATTGAGTCCCTGCGTATGGACAGCCTTGGGTATTAATCCCTGACTAGAGGCTGCCAGAGTTGTCTACACATGAATGAGTTAAGTGTAGTGGATTACTGGGTTTACCAAAACTCATTTCACTTGAGGTAGCCGGCAGGGCTCACAGGCGGTGAAAGGTCCACTTCTTTGTTCCCTTGAACCATCCACCACTGACTTCCAACAGGATTAGATGCTACCCATTAAATTACTCCTGTCAATGACAATCTATTCGGCTTGGCTTGATAAGTTTAGCAGTGCAGTCTATTGACAGCCTTTAAATTAGCTCATCACCCACTTGTGAGGCCGATGGCAGATTCATAGGCCTGAACGGCCGGGTTGTAGTAGTGCTAAATCTAGAGTGACTCCTATAAGTGGTAGTAACAGTTTTAAGAAGGGGCTGTATTATACAGGGGGAGGGAATTGTGCCCAGTGGTGAGAGCAGAAGGGATTGGGAGCCAGGACTCCTGGGTTCTATTCCTGGCTCTGTTATTGCTGTGCTGTGTAGACTCGGGCAAGTCACTTGGCCTCTCTGTGCCTCTCAAACATGGGGTTATTTAATCCAAACTCGGTTATTTAGAAACCCTATGGACTATGCAAGTGCTTCATTCAGAATGAAGCAGCATCTTAATCTGCTGAGCGGAAACTCCACCTAGCCCTGCCAAAACCATCTAGGTGACATCCAAACACCTCCCAACTATGAATGCATTTACCCTTAGAGTGCAGTAGGGAAATAGGGTCATCTCCGTTTCAGAGATGGGGAGTTGAGATGCAGAGAGATTCAGTGACTTGCCTGACATCTCACAGGGACCCTGTGGCAGAACCAGGACCTGAATCCAGATCTCCTGAGTCCCAGGTCACTGCCTCAAGACCATCCTTCTCCTTTAGATGCTCCCTAATTGTTTACACAGCCTAGGGGTGAGCAGGCCTCTGCCTGCAAGGAACTTTGCTTATGCTCCCGGTCACCTATTTATTGGTTTCCACTATCTGCCAAAGATAGCAGGAGTTTATTCCTTTAACCCTTTTAAGATTGTGTAATTGGCTTCTCTGTCAGCAGGCTCATTGGAAATGCCTGGTGAGTATCACTACCTTGAAGGCTAGCAGGAGCTGAAGCATGGAAAAAAAGCCTACCGAAAAACACCAGCTATGATTGACAGCTGTCACTCAGAGCATACATCCTCCTAGAACAGGAGCCGCCCTCCTAGGAAGCATATTTAATGTCATGATTGACTGTTAACAGTCACCATCTTCATTTGGGGAGCAGCATCTACCAGTGACAAAGGGACCTTTCATTCTCAGCTTGCAGGCACACCTGCACCTCAGCCGGTCCTTATAGACAGTCCCCAATATAAGGAAAGAAACAGGGCGCTACTGCCACTAGCTATGAGCTTTCTTTGTGAAAACAAGTCTTTGCCCTGGGGCCTGTGCGCCTTGAGGATCCCCCTGGATATTCCCTCCCGTCTTGGATGCTGAATATTGTAGGGTTTTCTGTAATGTCCATTACCCTAGTATCTCAGCTAAGCTAGATTTGCAGCTGGGGGCCTGTGCCTCCTTCCCCGGGGGGAGAAAGCTCTGCCTGGGATAATGGGAGACGTATTTTTTATTTGTTTTGTCAGGTCCCTTTCCTTTCTCCCCACTCCTTCCCATATACCTTAGCTGCACTGGGAAAGGTGACACCTCCCCAACGTGATGGGGCTCGGGAGAATTCACCCTGCGGGGTGGAGCTGCGGGCTCTCCCCGGCCCCGGTCACGCAGAGCTGGGGGCTTCTTTCTCCTTCCCTGCGGCTGGCTCTACGCTCCGGGCTCCTGTCCAGATGCAAACAGCTGTCGCCAGCTGTGCACAGCGGCTTGCGTTGATTGGCTCAGGCACCGTGACATCACGGGGCTGGCTCGGAGGCGTTTAGCTCCCTCGCCGCCGCCCTTGCAGGAGTTTCCAGCGGCGGCTCCAGTCGCCGCAGAGAGACGGTCTCGGTGGCGGCTCCGTGGAGCTGGGAGGGTCCCTGCCGGACGAGTAGGCTCCGACCCCGGGCTGCCCCGGCCCCTATGGCAGGTAAACGGGCTGGGGGCTGCAGCGGGGAGGCGCGGCCGGAGAGCGAACCGGGAAGGGCTGGGGTCCCTTTCCCTGCTCTCCGCGCTGGGGACGTGCCGGGAAGGGGCGTCTCCCGGGGATCCCCACGAACCCGCCTGCGGGGGCGCGGGGACCCCGCCGGGCACCGGGGAACTCCCCCGTGGGGATGGGGGAGCTGGGACAGCCCCCGGGGAACCGGCCGGGGCGGGTGCCCGGCCCTCTCCCTTCCCCAGGGGAAGGACCCTGTTCCCAAGCCGGCCCCTGGAGCGTCTGCAGCGGGGCGAGCTCCCGGGGAGTGGGGCTGGCTGCTCCGGGGGTCCCCTGCCTGCTTCTCCCGGTGCGGGGCGCTGGGGGCGGGGTGTCTCGGGCTGGGACCGGCCTCCCGCTCCCCCCGGCTCACGCTGCCCTTCTCCCCGCCGCAGCCCGGAGCGCCCTGTAGCGCCGCCCGCCCGCCCGGCCCGGGCACCATGGGGAACCAACTGGCGGAGATCGCGCCCGCGCCGCCCTTCCTGCCGCACTTCCAGGCGCTGCACGTGGTGGTGATCGGGCTGGACGCGGCCGGCAAGACCTCGCTGCTCTACCGGCTCAAGTTCAAGGAGTTCGTCAAGAGCGCGCCCACCAAGGGCTTCAACATGGAGAAGATCCGGGTGCCGCTGGGGGGCTCCCGCGCCATCGCCTTCCAGGTGTGGGACGTGGGCGGGCAGGAGAAGCTGCGGCCGCTCTGGAAGTCCTACACCCGCCGCACCGACGGGCTGGTCTTCGTGGTGGACTCGGCGGAGGCGGAGCGCGTGGAGGAGGCCCGGGTGGAGCTGCACAGGATCACCCGGACTTCCGAGAACCAGGGCGTCCCCGTGCTGGTCCTGGCCAACAAGCAGGACCTGCCTGGGGCGCTGTCGGCCTCCGAGGTGGAGAAGCTGCTGGCCCTGCACGAACTCAGCGCCTCCACCCTGAGCTGCACCCAGGGCTGCAGCGCGGTGGACGGGCTGGGCCTGCAGCAGGGGCTGGAGAAACTCTACGAAATGATCCTCAAGAGGAAGAAAACGCTGCGGCACAGCAAGAGGAAGCGATGAGCAGCCCCGGAGCTTGCCCCAGCCCCACCCAGCTGCCAGGGCGTTGCTTGTTGGGTGCAGGGTGAGCAGGTCCCGTGCCAGGCCTGGCTCACCCCAGCGTGGCTAAACCTCCCATGTAGACAAGGACTTTGTTACGGGCAGCGCCCTCTGGGGGGTCTGTGTGCCTGCCCGTGAACTCTCCATCCAGGATTCGGGATGGCTCCAATGGGAGTGTGCTATAGGGACTGGTCTGGACCTGTGCCCGTGGGCTGACCGGACACACAAGTGCCACAGCCAGACTGAGAGCAACGGCCCCTAATGTGTCAAAATCAAATTTAAAGAGAGGTAGGGTGGGGTTAGGAGACTGCAACCTGATGGCAACTTGCATTAGATGAAAACACTGCAAATGGGTTTTCTAGGCGTGTGGGTGTTAACGTCCATCATTGCTACAGGAAAGGTGGGGGAGGGGAATCTTTGTATTACTGGGATTCTTTTTTTATAAACCATGTGTATTTTTTTTTTGTAGGAACTAAACGTAAGTTATTAAACAGACAGATTGGATAGCTGGGAGTGGCTTTGAGTCTTCACTTTCATGCTGTCCGAGTTCATACTTTGTCAAGATTCCACTTGGCTGGATCTGGACAAAAGGTACATTGGGATTAAAGGCAGGACTGCCTTTTATTGAAACCAAAGACCTCTGCTAAACCGTTGGCTGTCATCTTTAAGGAAAGAAGGCTTTTAGACATGAAGTGACAGAAATCTAATCTATCCTTGTCTCCTGCTAAGGGAGGGAGCTCTTGTGGGGGTCGAAAGAAACCAACCAAGTCTCTGGCTGCTGCACTAATGAATAGTAACAAAAACATGACCCAATGTTGTTTTCCAGGGCT